GATGGTTAAGCGTCTGCCTTCGGCTCAGGTCATGATCCCAGGGTCCTGGGATCGAGTCCTGCATCGGGCTCCCTGCTCAGTGCAGAGCCTGCTTCTCCCTCTCCCTCTGCCATTCCCTGTGCTGTGCTCTTCTGTCTCTCTGTCAAATAGATAAATGAAAAATCTTTAAAAAAAAAAGGTTAATATGGTAAATTAAAAAAAAAAGTACAATGCTTGTAAAATGTGTGAATTCTTATAATTCTTTATGAAAGAGGTAAGTGAATAATCCCAGTATTTTTTTTAAAAAAAGATTTAGTTAGAGAGAGAACATAAGTGGAGAGGAGGAGCAGAGGGAGAGGGAGAAGCAGACTCCCCCCGCTGAGCAGGGAGCCTGATCTGGGGCTGGATTCCAAGACCCCAGGATCATGACCTGAGCCGAAGGCAGACGCTTAACCGACTGAGCCACCCCGATGCCCCAATGCCAGTATTTAAAGCCACTGTTTCACATTCAGTAGAGGCAAATAGAGGCTTAACTTAAATGTTTTCAGGTTACAATTTGTATTTCTTTTAGCTTTCTTTTTTTAAAGTATGCCATACACCAACAGTAATGTTAGCAGAAAAAAATGTAATGAAAGTGAGTCTGAAAAAGCACTTAAAATTTTTTTAAAAGGCATTTAAAAATTTGTACAGTTCAAGGTTTAATCTTGTGCTTAGAATTGTTTTACCATTTTTAAAGCTGAATCATGACTTATATTTTAGAAGTTATGTATTTGATAACGTTAATTAAGAAGACAGTGATTTCAAAGATAAACCTCGTAAGAGACTACTATCTTTGCTTAACTCTAGACGCACCTTGGTGTGGAGTGAAAAGTACACATGCTGGATCAAAATACATAAAAACTTCATTTCCTACCAAAAAGAAGTGGGAAAATGGGAACTGTGTAAAAGACAGGAATGAGCCCTGCCATATAATGTAAGTATTTTGTTTTCATGGTCTTCAGAACATTAAAGTCAACACCAAATGCCATTTAGAAAATGAACTCCAGGGACCGAATTAAAGTTGCGTGACATCCAAATGAAATTCACATCAAAAGCTACCATTTTAATGCAGTGATTTGGAAGGCTCTGCACCTGAACTGCTCTATCTAGGCTCCTCTTTTCCCATCATCTCAACCTCTCAACTCATTAAAAGTGGTTTAATTACAGGAGTGAAAACTTCATGTGATTTGGGTCATTTGTCATTTTGTAGGAAAGGGAAAAAAAGATTCTCATGCAGCCTCCTTGCTGATGGTTATAAAAAATGCACTTAGCAGGAGACCTTTTTGTGTATTTTAAATTATTTGACAACCTGAATAAACCTAAGTAGTAACACATTTCTTGAAGCCTCTGAACAAAAAGGTCAAGTTATAGAAAGGATTTCCTTTTTCTAACCCAAAAGGTGGGGGAGGGGGACCAAGCAGTAATTCAGCATCATTTTTTGATTATAATACATAGCATGTGAAAAGAGGGGCTGTTTACCATCCAACTGTTAAGCAGCTATAGAGCTTATAACTTACAGGATAAGTTTTTATCATGTTAATGGGCACATCATCCAGTTTTTGTTTGCATAAGCAGATAATTTAAATACAGATTATATCAGTCTAGTATGGTTTACCAGTTCAGGCAACTGAACTGTTACTTTTAGGTTGTAGTAATTCCTTCCATATGTACTTTTTTAGTTTTTAACAGAGAAGAGTATTAGGTAAGCCGGATCTAAAATTCAGCAGGCAGAGAACTGCAGATTTATTCTATAAAAATTATACTGGAAAGATTTTCCTTTATTATCATGCTGGTGTTGGCAAAGATTTTAAAACCGAATGTTTTAAAACCCATAGGCTGAGGAATGTATTTAAATTCTGATTAGTAAAGAATCACTTGTAACTTTTATGAAATGTAGGTAGTTGCAAATTCAGTCAGAAGACAGAAGACAATTATTACTGAATCATTCTTTATAGAGATTTAATAGGACACTAGAGACAAGAAACTGGTATTTTTCTAGTAGTCAGCTCAGGGGAAGTATTTGCCAACAATGTATCCACATCAGTTGTATATACTGCCTTAATGTTAAGTACAATATTGCTGTTGACTTTAGAGACACATTTGAAAAACAAAATTCTAAGGTCTTCCAAATGCAGACTGTTAAGAACCAAGAAAGCTTGAGTCTCATGAGCAATCATGAATACCAGTTGAGGAGGCGGAGCTTGGGAAAGGCAGCATTTACAAACTGAAAATTTTTAAACCACATTTCAAAAACACAGATGCCTCTAGTCTAATGCTAATTACTAATTAATTCCTACTTACAAAGTCATTTTTATCAAACCCATCTATTAACAATTTTATGTTTTAATTATTTTTATAGAGATCTTGCCTCCCTTTTAGATTTTAAATTCCTTGAAACACATTTTGAAGCTCCTGCATGTCAGGAAAGGTACAAGTTACTGAGGCTACCTAGAACAATCAGGACAATCCTTGCCCTGCATCCATCCACCAGATGACTAGGTACATTCTGCCAGGCACTTTGGATAAGACATTGAAGGAATCAGACAGGGATCCTTAACCCTCCTGGAGCAAATAAGCAGAAAGTATAATCCAAGATGTTAGTGCTGTTACAGAGGTATAAATATATGATGAGGACCCTAGGACATAGCAGCTGCCTTCCTTGAGGAGAAATAACTCAGCTAAGGTGACACTTCAGCTGTTCACGGGGTACAACTGGGTGTTGTGCCAGACCAAGACAAACACCTCAAGCAAAGGCGGACTGCAGAAGGGCTTGGCTGCTCTGGGGAAAACAGTGAGTTTAGTGTGCCAAAAAGTAGGATGCACGGGTAAGTGATAAGCCTAGGAAGGTACAGGGAGACCAGAATGGTGAGGGCTCTCGTATGCCAACCTTAGTAGTTCAGATTTCATCAGGACCCAAAGGATTTTAAGCAGGAAAGGGGCGGTTCTTTTTTTTTTTTTTTTAAAGCTGTAGCGTATCAGCATAGAGAAAGGACTGAAAGCGAGACGGGGGTGGCAGCAATCATACTGATTTCACAGTATTTTGCAGGTAAGTTCCAACTGAGTAGGTAAGAGGAAAATTCTGTAGTTTACTAATAAGAAAATCGGGTCTTTACTGTCAATTTAAATGCTAATATATTTGCTTTTAGCACACTTTGACTTACTCAGATAAAAATTTAGTCTATATTAAGTGTGGCTGTTGCGTTACGATTATATAATTAAAAAATTCCAGTTAATCTCTAATTCCTTTAGGTGTTCATATTTAAGAAACCCATACCAGGGACAAAAATCTTAACAAATATTTGACAATGTTTAATTTGGACTTTAGAACTTTCTAATTCATGTATAAAAACATCTATATATAGTATTGCTAGAGAACAGTACTACTGATTATTATTCTAGGCACAGACTGAAAGATTTGACACCTGGGCTAGTCTTGCTCTTGCAGGGAGTTAAGTACAGGAAGAGAAAGCATCTCTCCTCCCCCCACCGCGATAACCATACATTGTTCCAAGTAAATAACTTGACTTCCTTTGCTGACATTGTGCTGGTCATGATGCACCAAAATTCTTGCTGCTTCTGGGACTAATTCTCTTAGCAGTGGCTTTCAAACTTTGCTATACCCACAATGCCACAATACCTTGTGACTCAGCACACATGTACATATATATAAAACCCAAACAGAAATGAAACAGTACTTCCCTTACTGTGATGTACTTTTCCTTTTTGAAAGCTCATTATGACCCACTAATGAATGCATAATGACCACAGTTTAAAGGAACTCTTCATTTTCACTGGGTTAGTTCCATTAGTTGTGGTTGACATAATATGGCCTGGTTTTCGAATTTATTTGAATCTGGACCTTGCCTCTAGTTATATGCAAGACTGCCCCAGAAGTTTGTCTCAGATTACTCTATTTTAAATATAACAGTTAAACTTTTCTGTTGATGGTGCTGAAAACCTTATACCTGTTAAGCTTATTATGTTAAGAGTGCTAGTACAGTCGTTTATGTGGAAACTAGTATCTTTAAAACTGAGCATATACCTGGAAATTTAACCATTTTGCTTTGTTTTCTTTCAGTCAAATACTGGAGATAATGTCAGCAGTGAGAGAGCAGGATCCATTGGAATTAGCCAATACACTATATAACAACACCATTAAAATATTTTTTTCCTGATGGTATGTTCTTTCCATTTCCCATCATCTATGTAAAATTTCATGGTAAAACTTACTGAAAGATTGAATAAAGGAATTCTCTGGAAGTTGTCTAAAGAGTTATTCCATATTACTACATACCATACCCCCATTTTTATCCATCAAGTCAGATCAGAATTTTAGTATCAATTGAGGTCTTAGTTTACAACAATGAAAATTCCCAAATATTTTGCAATTGCTTCAGAAGTCTGAAAGGACAATTTTATGTCAACACTGCAAACAGAATGGCCAACAAATATACTGGTTTTATTTACATCAAAATTAAACAATTAGCACATTCTGGTTTTTATACCAAAGTTTAGTTGATAAAAGCCTGTTTCTCAACTCTTACACAGTCTCTGAATCATGACTTTTGAACCTAGCTCAGCCACGTGCTACACTCAGATTTCAAAAAAGTCTCTTCTGGCAGCCTATTTTCTCCTTCGTTTTAAAATACTCTACATGTAGCTTTTATCCTCTGGTCCAAATTATTTCCTTGACTTAATGTGGTTTCCTCTGATTTGCATTTTCATTTTCCCACCCATTTTAAAGAAAAACTAGGGTCCAGAGTTACTTTTATATGCTTTCATTGAGGAATCTTTGGCACAGTTGACGCACTGTATTATATCATTACATCTATTAAAAAGCTGTTTGTTCAAATTTTGTCATAAAAACGTGAAAACATTTTATTCTATGTACAATAATGTACACAAATTTAAATAGGTCACCAAAGAGACCAGAAGTAATTAAAGAGGTATATTTACAGTAGCACATCACAGTAAACGGAAAACCATTCACAGATTCAACATGGATACTGTTTTTGTGCTTGGTTACACACTGAAGTGAAGCATATTACTCCATTTTGGATGAACTGAATTTTAAACAAATAACCTCAATGATTAGTAAATGCTATTTTAATCAGTATCATCATTAAGTTCTTCAGCTGCTGGGCCTGTGTGCTGAATCACTCCATTTCTTTCTCTTTGAACATCATCATCACAATCTGTACTGTCATCTTCGTTCAATTCCCTGTCAGATTCAGCAGCAGCTTCTCTTACAGCTTCCTCTGGATTTTCATTGGGTGCAATAAATCCATTGTTGTTAGATATATTTGAATTATCCTTAATATCATCTTCGATGTACACTTTCTGATGGCACATTGGACAAGTATCTTGGATGTACAGCCATTTCCGAAGGCAAAGTGCATGGAAGTAATGATTACATGGTGTGATGCGAGCAGATGTTGTAAACTCATGATAGCAGATTGCACATACATCATCTATTTCTTGTAAGCGGCTCCCTTTTATTTCAGGAAGTGAGTTAATTTTCTTAACAGCAGTCCTACGGTTCATGAATGTCTTCCAGCCATTTTTTGCTTGTAAGTAGATGTTAAAATATGCATGTAGACACATCATACAAGCCCGAATTTTACTTCCTGACTCAAACATCATAGTGTAAGCCCCATTTCCAAACATTACTACTCCAAATATAAATTCAATAATATTGCCTGTTGAACGAACATAGTAGACATAATCATCAAGCTTTTCCCAAAGGACATTATAGTAGCCATCAATCATGAATAACGTATACACAGTGAGAGAAACAATTACCTTTAAGCAGAGTTCCACACAAAAGGCTGTAACTGCGAACAACCACGTATTTAGTGCATAGTGATGCCAAAGAATGTAACTGAGTAAAACAGGAAGAATAAACAGGCAAGCGGAGACAAAGAGCACAGGAAAATGTCTACGGAAAGATGACACATGAGAGGCACTGAGAGACATTAATACAGGGTCTGTCATTCCGTGGATGAAATGCAGGACTGCAGTTAATAAAAGGCACATGTTTCTACTTAAGCGAATCAGTCTCTCTTCTGGTCTTAGCCCACTCAAACCAGTCTGAAGAGCCAAAATAAAAAATAAAACAGGTGCTACGAAGCCAAGCCGCCTGTCGTCTTCTTCGGTTGATCCAATAAAGGCCAATATTCCAAGGCCCAAATAATGGGCTATTGAGGAAATTACAGCACTCATGCCCAGTACAGTTAGTGTAGAATCACATCCACTAATTATAAGGTTGCAAATGAGGTCCCAGAAGTCATCCCAAGAAATAAAGAAGGAATCCGTTTCATTTGCCATCCTTAAAATGTACACCAACACTGTAGCCTGAGCTGTAATTCTCGTTAGCCAAAAGACTCTCAGTATGTCTGGGAAACGAATCCTCTTCCATGTGTCCTCCAGCAATAACTGTAATCCATAAATTCTATACATGTGCCTCACCAAAAGATAAACATATCGTGTAGAGTAATAAAACCACTTAAGTTTCACTGCCAAGACAAGCACTGTGTTTAATGTGAGAATCAAGGAAGAAGTAAAAACTAAAGTCTCTCGGATGTGTAATGGGAGCTCTGTGATTAAGCCTATTACAGGAACCAAGAGATCCAAAATAATTAATTGTGAATAGATGGAATGAATTTGTAATAGTGTAATGTATCCAATTCCTAAGGTGAGCTGTAGAACGATGAGTGCCATCCATAGCGAGGGCCCTTTTCGAGGAAGCAGCTCAATTCCGAAAGCTGATGTGTTGTAGGCACCATAGAAGTCAATGTGCAAAGAAGCATAATAATTTACCAACACTGAAGTTGCAGCTAATAGAAAGGCTGAACTGTACATGTAAAACTTGAAAAGTGATCGTTGTGACAAGATCAGAACAATACTGGATACAAATATACCTAAAAAAAAAAAAAGAAGAAGAAGAAGGAAAGAAAGGTCATTTGAGTGCAACATTTTTTTTAAGATTTTATTTATTTGAGACAGAGAGAGAGAATGCCCGTGCGAGCACAAGCGGGGAAAGGGGTAGAGGGAAAAGCAGACCCCAGCTAAGCAGGGAGCCTCATGCGGGGCGCAATCCCAGGACCCCGAGATCATAACCTGAGCGGAAGGCAGACACTTAACCAACATTTTTAAGAATGTTTTTGTACTAACAGTTACGCCCCTCTTCCCTTAATTAGGAAATACAGTATTTTCAAAGTTATGAACATTAAGTCTCAAGACAATTTAGGCTTAAAGGCCATGAAAAGTTTTGTAAAGTCAGAGTTCAACAGACCAATCATACTATTTTTTAAAATATTATTCCTTATCTTTTAAGTTCCAAATTCAAGTAGTACTATATATCCAGACACCAAATTACTAAATGATCTTCAAGATTAGTTATTAGTGATACCTACATTTTAACAAGTTTTTAAATCTTGAAAGAACATGTCCTTTATAATTTCATAACCACTAAAAATAACCAAAATGCAAATATTTGTTCCTATTAAATCTTAGATTTCTTTTCCTTAGAAGTGTTCTTTAGGAAATCGAGTTTAACTTTTATACTTACACCTAATGCCTTCTTTTTCTCAGTGAACTCCTGCTGGCTTTTATTTTTCCTGCTCCTTAAATTTGTGCATTCCCCCTTGGGTCCAAATTCAGGGGTTTTTTTTGTTTGTTTTCCCCTCTCTACATACTTTCCTACAGATTTCAGAAACATCATCCAAGTTCTTTTTCCTGTACATTACTGTATCTCTTACTACAGTCAACCCTTTTTATTCTTCAAATTACAAAAACATTCAGAAAACCAAAGCATGTTTTAAAAAAATGGAATAAGTATCCCCCACACTCCATATGTAACAAAGTATAGTGTGATGTGTGTGATGTGCATCCAGCATCATCTTTCTTTGTGCTCTGACAAATTTTGTGAGATCACAATAAACATTATTGCCCAAGGTTTCAATATGGAAAAGATATCCAAATATACACCTGATTCCACTTCCACGTTACAAGTGCAACACTCAAGATTTCTAAAACCTAACTGACTTCAAATAACTCTTGAGATTTCCAGTTTCAGTTAAAGGTACCATTATTCTCTTAATGGCACCTCCAGCCCTGAACCCTAAAACTTTGACAGTTATTTGCCAATTCTACTAACACCTGTTACCTCCCCTCTTTTCTCTAAACTCTTGTCCAAATCTATCTACAATCCCATCTAGCCAAAAAGTGCCTTTCTGCATTTCTTTGCTCAAAAGCAGCAGCCCTTGAAATTACTATCAACAAAAATCTACATTCCTTGTCCACTCACTCAAGGATCCAATGTGGTATTCCTTCCCACACACACCCACCACTCCAGACTTTCTCCAACACAGCCTTTCTCTGCCGTAACTGCAGCTATGTTTACATTCTTCTCTTTGCCTGGTATGGTGAGCTTCCCAAATCCCTGACTGTTCAAATCCTACCCATCCAATAGACCAATTTTCTCTGATAGTTACTGATCTTTGAAATTACCAAGAGAACTCAGTGAAATGCCCAATACTCATACACTACCTGATATTGTAGTTTGTAGTTATCTGAGGAGGTCATCTACCCTGTTATATAATGTATCCTTGTGATAGCAAGCAAGGATTCTACCTTGCACATTATGAATCCCAAAATATTCTGCAGAAAATAAATTATTTCATTGTTTATTGAAATAACTAGGGAAATGTTAATGTAGAATTCTGGATTATATTTTTCAAGGCAACCACAAAACACAGCCCACATGGAAACTGAAACCTATGAAAAGCTAAGACAAAGCTGAAAAACCAGAGCTTGGAGTACAGCAAAAGTGGCAAACCCCAAATTAAACATCATCTGTCCACCTTATTTCAGCACGTAATCAAGAAAGGACACTGCATATTACAATAGAGGCATTTTACAATCTATTGCATATAAAAGCAAGGGCTAGTTCTTCTAAATGATGACTTTCCCCATGAACTTAAAATTTATCCTGTGCCAACCTGTCAGGTCACTTGTGAAAAGGAGAAAAGGACACAAACACCTGAAAGACACATGAGTTTCTGCATAAGAACCATCTGATTCCTGGAACAAATGGGCCACTAATAATCTCCCAAGGAGTTGACAGCTGGGAATAGGCCCTTTCAATAGAAAATAACCTTCTTTGGAGGTTTAGAAACATTTTCCCATAAGGTAACAGGAAATGGAAGCCACTATATGTAATCTTGCTTTCTCTACATAGAAAAACAAAAGTCAGTATTTTTCCTGAGACAAAACTTAATCTCCTAAAACAAGTCAAAACAACACCCAAATAAGTTAAGTTCTATTTTCTGCCACTTATAAGGAGAAAGCCAAACAGGGACTGTATTTTTGTCAACCTGCTATTCACAAAGGGGTAAATTAATCTTTACCTGTGAATATTCATGAACTCTGCTGTAACTTATAAACCAGTCCTTTTTATTCTAATAGATTTTTTCCTTGAAGCTTATTTTTACACACAAATGAAGGAATGATTTGATTTTTAGAAATGTTTCTGTAGAAAAAGTGTATTTTGCTTCATGCAAATGTATCAAAGGGAAAAAAGGGGAAGAGATGATAGACAATGTAGTGAGACTATACTCAAAGTCTGGATGTATCCTAGCAAGTAACAGTAAGATACCACTATTCTCAGGGTGCCTGGGTGGCTCAGATGGTTAAGCTTCTGCCTTCAGCTGAGGTCATGATCTCCAGGTCCTGGGATTGAGCCCCACGTAGGGCTCCCTGCTCAGCAGGCAGTTTGCTTCTGTCTCTCCCCCTGCTCATGCCCTCTCTGTCTCAAATGAATTAAAAAAAAAAAAAAAAAAAGATACCACTCTTCTCTTGATTGAAATTATACCCCAAGACATAATGATGAAACATTTCAAGAATAGTACAAAATTATTTTAATTCCTACCCAAAAGTTGCATGTATGTAAGGTGCTTACATTTTTCTTTTATACTCATGTTCCTATGTATGGAATGTAGGAAAAATCAGCTCTCATTTCACAGAAAAAGCCAACTTGCCAAGTAACAAGTCTCTCCAGTAACACTCCTCCAATACTTTAGGGAGTATTGTCAATAGCATCAAAGTTTGTTGCCTTTTCACAACTCTTGGTATTTATCCTAGAGGCCTAAGAAAATTAAGCCCAGGGGTAGTTTCTCATTAGGATTTAAGAGTGATCTGAAGAAGCAATCAAGACTATATATAAATGCTACTTTATGAAGAAAAATCACCGTGGGACACTGGAGAATAGAAGTAACTGAAAGCACATCTCAGGGATCCAGTTCTCCAGTGATTAGAGTTTTACTGAAGTCTTCAGGGTAGGAAAACAGGCAAGGAGCAAAATCAATTCAGGAGCTTTGAAGATATATAGAACTCAATTCAGGAGAGAGTTCAGGAAGGACCTTTGCAATCTGACTATCAGAAACAAGCAAACAAAACAAACACTACCCAGGCACAGTGTACAACAAAGCATTTAACCCCTTAATGGGTAAAACACATTCATACCTTCTTTAACCTTGTCTGGAAATTTAGGACTATAAATTAGAAGGAAATAAGACATTACATTTATAACTATCCAGGTATCTTTAAGGACCTTTTAAACATGAGCTAAAGAAAACTGTGGAAAAACATTTAAATGCCTAACAAAGATGGAACAGCACAGAAATGTTATGATTACCTTAATCCAAAGGGAGCCCTCAGCAATGAAATGTAGACAAAGTAAATAAAATATCTTGAAATGTTAATCTACAGGTATACTTGATAAACCAGAGCATAAAGAAAATTTTTCTATCAAATTCTCATTTTGGGTTAAAAAGGGTATTCTAACTCTTTTATTAATCAGAACACTAAGTTTTTGCTTCTAAGATTTTTAACATGTTTTTATTAAAAAGAAATCTGAATATAATTTTTTAAAGTAAACCTTATAGGTATTAGAGGAAGAATAAAACAAAGTTTTTCATAAATATATTCATAAACACATTCTTTTTTGCTTTTTACCCAAAGGAGATCTCATTGTAAACGTGGAGATTTTTTTACTTTTTTACCTTTTTTACCTCCCTAAAAAAAAAAAATGCATTTCTGATTACTTATCAAAGAAGGCATCTTCCAATTTATTGGCCATTCATGTTTCTTCCTCTGAATTGCCAATTTATCTTTTGCCCATTCATCTATGGAGTTGTTTTTCCCTCTTGAGTTGTAGACACTTAAAAATAATCTGACTACAAATTCTTTGTCAGTTACCTGTACTGCAAGTATCTTCTCCAGGTATGTGGCTGGTCTTTTCACGTTTTTTATTTTTTACGTTTTTAATTTTAATGTTGTTGGATTTATCAATCTTCATTTATAAATTTACTTTCAAATATATGTATATGTACGTGTGTGTGTATGTGTTCTTTTTTGAGGGGTAGAGGGACAGTGGGAAAGGGAGAGAGAGACTCTTAAGGAGGCTCCACACCCAGCACTGAGCCTGATGCAGGGCTCAATCTCAGAACCCGGAGATCATGACCTGAACCAAAATCAAGAGTCCGAGGCTTAACGGACTGAGCTACCCAGGCGCCCTGACTTTCATATATTTTTAAATGTATTTGTCAGAGAGAGAGGAGATCGCACAAGCAGGGGGAGGGGCAGGCAGAGGGAGAAACAGGCTCCCTGCTGAGCAAGGAGCCTGATGCAGGACTCCATCCCAGGACCCAGGGATCATGACCTGAGCTGAAGGCAGATGCTTAACCGAATGAGCCACCCAGGCATCCCGACTTTCATATATTTTTAAAGAATTTCTCCCTTACTCTAAAAACCAAAAACCTCTATATTCTCCTATATTTTCTTCTAAAAATTTTAAAGTTCTGCTTTTCACATTTAGGTATTAGGCCACTTAGAATTGTTTATATATTGGTAGTTAGGGATCCAGTATATTTTCCATACAACTAAATGACCATTACCTGAATAGTCTATATTTACCTCAATGAATATACTTCAATTCTAACTCTGAAACACATCAGGTTTCTCTATATACATGGGTGCACTGTTTCTGGGCTTTCTATTCTGTGCTATTGGTCTATTGTTGATCTCAGTGATTCTTAACAAGGATCAGATTTTGCACCAACCCCACCTCCCTACCCCCACACCAGGCATTTGGTAATATCTAAATATCTAGAGACATTTTTAGCAATCACAAAAGGGGGAAGAAGGGTGCTAATGGATATGCAATGGGTAGAAGACAAGGACACTGCTAAAAATCCTGCAAATCACAGAACAGCACCCCCCCACCTCCCCAAGAATTACCCAGTCCAAAACGTCAATAGTGTTGTTGAGAATTCCTAACCTGTCCCTATCGTTTCAAAATTACTACTGCTTCAATGTTTTCTCACTTCAAAGGTTTTCTGAGTTCTTTCTACAGCACCAAAAATAACTCTTTCTTTTCAAAAAAAATTATTGTATGTCTAAAGCTAATAAAAGAACAGATTCCCTTTTAACAGATATTTAGATTAACTATTTTGTTATTACCAACAATGCTGCAATGAAAATCCTTTCCCATAGTCTTTGAACAAGTACAACTATGTCTCTAGGTAAAATTCTTAGAATTGTGAGTCAAAAGGTGTATGATGAATTTCAATAGCTAGTGCCAAAAGCCTTTACACAGAAGTGACAGCACACCAAAATTGTATAACTTTACTCATTTCCCCACACCTTTGACAAACTAGTTTTTATATGAATGTTGAACTCTTCACCAATCTGATAACTGAAATTTTGTTCTGACTGCATTTCTTTCATTATAAATGAGGCTGAGTTTTGCATACTGACCATCCACATTTCATTTATTGGGAACTGCTTATCCTGGACCCATTTTTCTCTAGGAGTATACATTTTTCTTAACGAGAGTAAAACTTTTATTCAATTTCATATAATGCGAATAGTATCCTGTTTGTCATTTATAAGAGCTAAAAAAGTTTTGTCATAAGAAAGTTTTTCTTTTTTATGTATTCAGATTTATCGAATTTTCCCTTGTAATTCTGGGGTTTTGTGTGTTTAGAAAGGCCTTTCCACTTCAATGAATTATCATTACATGAGTAATACTATTAAACTCCTATGCTTGTATTTTCTGCCTTGGATTTAGATTTGTTAATTCAGTATTATGCTGCACAGGGTTGCGTTTCATTTAGTATTTAACACCTCCTAAGAATAGCTTAATATTCTTAAATACTCTATATATTGTGATTTGATTTGATTTGGATCTCTAAAATGAGATGCTTTATATTCTGATCTGCTGAAATTCTCGTATTAGTTTGATACCAAAAGTGAAAAGCAATAGTACTTTTCTGTAGGGGGAGGGGAGTTAATTCTTTAGAGATGAGATATAAAATTGGTAATGTTTTAGAGAATAGATTTCCATTTTTACAATCTCATTTTAAAGAAAAAGGTGAGATTGACAAGTTTTGAGATTTATATATAATAATACTGAGAGATCTACATTAAAAAAAAAAACTAACCAGGTGTAGAACAATTAATTTCAACTATCCTTTGGTATCTTTTACACACAAACCTGTCACTTTCAGTAACAACAACAGCTGCCTCACTGAATGGGCCTCAAATATTGAGGACATTTGTTTTTATTCAGGGTGAATTTTTAGCAAGAAAACCAGTTTTTAATAATTTTATCATTCTCGGGGCACCTGGGTGGTGCAGTCTGTTAAGTGTCTGATTCTTGGTTTCAGCTCAGGTCAAGATCTCAGGGTCGTGAGATCGAGCCCCGCTGTCAGGCTCTGCACTCAGTGGGGAGTCTACTTGGGATTCTCTCCCTCTCCCACTTGTGCTCCCTCTCTAAAAATAAATAAATAAATCTTAAAAAAATTTTTTTATCATTCTCACAAATGTGAAAATTTGGCAAACTACACTGGCATAAAGTAAGGAGCAGTCCAGGTAATAGATCTGGAAAATATTTTGTATTTCTCACAAAGTGTGAACAAAAATTCTGGGAACAAAGCACCAAAATTACGCTGATGCCTTCTAAAGATTAAAATATCTGTACCGTCTTAAATGAAGTATAGAAATATTTTTTCAAAGTTATCAAGCTTATTAAGAGCTAACAGTAGCCTATACTAAGTCCCAGGTACTATTCTGAGAACTTACATCCTAACTCATTTATTATCCTTAACACCTTATGAGAGACCATTATTGCCCAACTTTAAAAATGTAAAGGTAAGCAAAGAGGGGTACAGAGCAGTTAAATAACTCGCCTGAGGTCACATTCTACTTAACTTGTCGAATACAAACTTCCATGATTTACTACAAAAATAAGCATGAATTACAAGGAAAATACCAAAATTACTGTTTAGTGTTCTTAAACTACAAATGATTTAATTAAGTAAAATACTCCCTTTTCCTTGAAGCTCCTTAGCCTAAAGCTCAACTCTGAGAGCACTGCATTAAAGCACCTGGTCACAAAGGGATTGTCAGAGGATATGTAGTCACAGGCCAAAAGAACATTCAAGGCAGTGGCTACACTATGTGCCAATGAATACATGAATCCTCTCAAACACAGCTGTTTTGTTTTTTGGGTTTTTTACTTTTTTTTTTTTTTTGCTCCATCACGACTTCCTCTCAAAACAGAAGGAAAGTCATCCCCCCATCCCCTTTGTCTATGTTATATTCGGTTAGTTTCCAAAGCAGCACTTGGGTTATTCCCAAAATTGATAAAGTTCCCTAGAAGTCTGTTAGCTTCTGTTCTCTCTCTAGCAAGCTCTCTCCCATCCTGTGGAGTTAAGGAATAGAAATGATAATTTTTCTCCATTTCTCTCCATACCAAGAATTGGCATAGATCTTGCCTGCATGCATATATCATCAACAAATGTGGGTAGGTATGGCGGGGAAAGAGGGTTGGCAGCTTGTCAGGCTCAGCTGGAACCCCTAAGCAACTATACTGAGATAAGGAACTGCCTGTTAATTTATGATCATGATGAGTGGTTTCTAACTGGCAGAAATAAAATGCCTTCCCAACAGGTCCCCCTTATTAATTTTACTTTAACGTTATTTAACTGAAATCACTTTTACCCATGACTACCAGAATTAAGCAAAATACGTTAAGTATGAAAGATTAAAACTAGTGAATGCTTTCTTTTTAAGCTGAGGTATAACTGACACATAACATATTATGTCGAACATAATGATTCCATATTTGTATAGGCTGTGAAATCATACAGCTCCACTTTTGCCACAAATAATGAGGGCATTACACTTTTGCAGTGATAAGTAGGAATGACTGGAATTAAATAGCTTGTGTGTTACTGAGAAATCTTGTGCTAAAGAACATCACTTTCACATTTGTTAAAGATCTAGCATATGATCATTACTATATCATTCTGTGTCTGGATAGCAGCTGAAAGTGAACCACACTTGATGTCGGAAGATTTTTAAGCCTAGGCCCTGACAACCACTTAATTGCTGTATATCAAAAGCAAAACACACTAAACCTCTATGCCCCTCAGTTTCCTCATTTAAAAAAATGAGAATGACACAATCCACCTCTGAGGGACGTTTATGCTTTACAAAAGTAAAGTACCAAACAAAATATTATTTATTGCTAATAACAAAACTCAACATTTTGGCGGGGGGGGGGGGCGGGAGATAAAGAAGCAACAGATGGCTCCTAATTCAGAAAGGCTTGGTTAAGGAGCTCATCATCAACCCTTCCTCAGCAAACTTCAAAATCACAAGCCTACTAAAAACTGATCACAAGAATTACCTCATCAACAAAATTTGCCAAGTTTCAATTACTTTAAAAAATTCTTTTATGCATAAATGCTTCTCACTTTGGTAATGCAAGTGAAGATGGGGAGTGAAACAAGATATTTTTAACACTCCATTCATATACAACGAAGACACTGATTTTCAGAAGTCTCTTTTGGAAAAGTCTCACGACTTTCTAGCCACGTTTTTATAGCCATTTTCAATACTTCTCTATTCATGGAAAATTTTAGGACTCGTTACAAGCATCGCCTTCTTCATGAGCATTTTCAGTAATGGTTTCAAGGTCTGACATTCAAAACCCTGTCTCTTTTGGATGTCCTTTACCGCAGACACTTCACGATCATGTGGACCCCGTGGATACAGAAGTGACAACATACGAGTACTCTCCATTTTGAAAAGGGGGAAACTGAGGCCCAGGTTTTGGCACTACAAGTCCAAGGTCACACGGCGAGACCGGGGCAAATAGTTGCTAATTTTCTAAGGCTGTCGCATAAGACGCGGCAAGCCAGCACTCATTTCCCAAGGGAAACAGCAGGCAAAGAGCCGCATGCTCACACATCCATGCTTTCTCCCCACCCTCGGGTGCAAAAATGAAAGAGGGCTGACTCTTTAGGAGGACCGCTCCGCTGTCAACTCTGAGGTGTCATCTCTTCCCCCCTTCCCAACCTGCAAAGACGCCCCTATTGGCGAAGAAACTGGTTCTCAAATACACATACACACGCTATCCACAGCTTGCGCACCGTGCCTGCTCCCTAAAGCACGTTTCGGCCCTCAAAGCCATCCCGGGACGCAAGCTACCCCGTTCCCCTTACCAAGGAGCCGGAGGAAGATCTGGAGCCCGATGCAGAAACGGCTTTGGCTGGAATCGTAGTAGGAGTTGAAGATGGCGTCGATGATGTAGAGGCAGGGCACCCGGAGCGCCACCTCGAGCGCCGCCCAGACCTGCTGATGGGCCATCCGCACCTGCTGCTGCGGGGGCCCCACCGCCGCCATGAGCCGCTGCCACACCGGGGCTGGGCGAGCCGGGCAGGGCCGCGCGGGGCAGGGCCCGGGACCGCGGCCAGGGGCGGGGGCTAAGGCGGGCGACTCCGCCCCCGCCCTCCCTCCTCTGCTCTCTTACGGCCCGCCCCGCCGCCCGCTCGCCTCTCTCGAGCTGGAGCAGGCGGCGGAGGCAGCAGCGGCGGCTCCCGGGAGGCCTCTGGGTGTCGGTGTTTCCGGTCGGCTAAGGTCTGGCTCCTCCTCCCTCCAACACCTCCCCCGCCCGCGGAGCCACCATCTTGACCTCGCCCGCCTGCCTCTGCCGTTGCTGCTGTTTGGAGGCCAGGCGGCTGCGCCCGCGGTCACGCGAGACCGCGGAGCCCGCGCCGCTGATTGCGTCATAATCCGGCGCTGGGGGCGCTCTCCAAACGTCATCGCGCACGGCGTAGCAATCGTCTCGCCGTGTTTCTATGGTTTCCGCCCACCTTCGCGGCTTTGGCGCGACCCCATGGCGCAGGCGCTTTCCGGCAGCCGCGCCCTCTTGACTGAGTGGCTTCTTCACAGGAGGCGATGTCAGCGTCGGTTGAGCTAGGGACTCCCTGCTTCCGTGGGCGGGAATTATTAGCTGTTTTATTATAGTCCATTAAACATCCTATAAACGTGGTTCAGAGCTGCTTGGGAGGAGGAAAGCAAAGGACGCCGCCCGCCAGACCTACCCCAACTCCACCCGGAGGCAGGATCTGGGAGAGGGCAAACATTCCAGGGAAAATATCTGCGAGGCCGCCTGGGGTCCTGCGGGAGCGTCGCTAAGCGCCCTTTCTGCAGCGGCCGCACTACGTGGCACTGGGCTAGGTGTGGTAGTCGCTGCCAAGAAAAGCATCCCTTCATCTCTTTGCACATCACCTTTCCTACCTTCTACCCGATTGGACAGAACTGAGGACGCTCATCGGCCGCATTTTGCTAATGTTAAGGGCCACTGTGATTTAAGGGCAAGAACCCAGGCCTCACTGTTTCTAGTCTTTGAGGTAAGCGCACCCAGGAAATCCCTTCTCTCCTCCTCTGGGAAGAAGCCATAATTAAGTTTTTGTAGGGGATCAGAATATGCCACCCCAAAATATGCCACTTTGACATAAGGATTATTTTGAGCGGAAGGTAGTTGAGAAACAGCAGCAGAAGCTTGAATTTTTTAAGATCCCTGCCTGCCCTCCTCGCTGCCACCATTTGTCTAAAAAGCGGGGCATAAATTTCCATTTGTAAAGGTGTCGCCCTCTCCCTTACCAAGAAGAGGGCGACACTTAGACTCTCAATCACCCACAAACCTTACTAAAGGAAGCCTTACCTTCCATTAGTTTCCCCCATATGTCTACCTTACCACAAGTTAGCCATCCCTGAAAGCCTAAACCCCTTTTTCTTTTGTCACTTCTCTACAAAATTATTTTTTTTGTTTTGGTTTTTGTTTGTTTTTTGCTTTACTAACCCAGCCGTCTTAAGGGAGATAAAACAGGAAGAACCTGACTCATCTGGGCTCCTAGCCCAAACCCCTCTGCTATCCATTCGTTTCAGGGATCTACATGGGTGATTATCCTCTATTAGTTAAAAACCCTCCAGAGGGGAGAATTTTAAAACTCCCAACACCCCTTTCTCTGGGTGGAGTTATGTGTGGTCGGATGACTGTCTCACACCAAAACTCCTCACTCCAGTCTCCTGTTTTTAACCTTTTGTTGTTATTCCCCACTAATAATGACTGGCACCATCTAGTGCTTACTTTGTACTAGGCACCATACATTTTATTTCAGTCTTTGCTATCAGCCTTCTTTGGAAGGTGTTATTATCTCTCTTTTAGAGAGGAGGAAATTGGGGCTTAGATAGGTTATCAAAATCACAAAATATGTGTATAAGTAGTAAGCGGGTGTGGCCGTAGCTAGTAAGAGTCAAACTTGGGATTAGAACCCAGGACTATCTGAAGCTTAGAACTTCAGGCATCTTTGATTCCTTCCTCTTCTCACCCACAGCCAGTCGGCTACCACATCGTATCCCTTCTTTCCTCACAGTCTCTTGTACCTGTCTCCTTTCTGTTCTATTGTCACTGCCACTATCCTAACCCAAGATCCTACTGTAGCTTGCCTGATTAACTACAATATCATTATGATTATGATCACTTTTCCTAATCTAGTCTGTTTACCTCTGCCAGGTTAATTTTCCCAAATTGCACATCTGGGGAATAAACTCGTGGTTCTGACAAAATTCCCAAAGGAAAGCAAACTTGATGAGAGGACTATTAAGGTTTATACAGAAAACCTCAGAGATGTAAATTAGCTTCTCAACTCACCTGTTATTCTGCCTTGATTGCAATTTAAAGCAAAAAGAGTGAAGCTGTTACAGAGAAAAGAGTCGACAAAGATTAATCTTAAGGAGTGTGGTAGAGAAGGCAGGCGAGTACCATTATATTATGATCATGCAAAATGGAGAATAGTTCATGGGTTTCCCTCCAATTTTTATTCAAAAAGTTAAATGTAGTAAATGGTAAATAAAAATCTTGAAAAAATGCTTCAGCCCTTATTGTTTTAATGGTTTCTCATCTTGATGCACAAATTTTATTAGTATAGAATTTTTTAAAGATTTATTTGACAGAGAGCAGGAGTGATAGAGTACCAGCGAGGGTGGGGCGCAGGGGGTGGTGTGGGGCAGAGGGTGAGGGAGAAGACTCCCTGCTGAGCAGGGAGCCTGAGGTGGGGCTTGATCTCAGGACCCTGGGACCACAACCGGAGCTGAATGCAAATGCTTAACCAACCATCAGTATAAGAATTTCTAATTCAAACTAAATCCCATTTGGGCCAAGAACTCTCAGGAGTGGTGGTATGGTCATTCTTATCTTACATGACTTCAAATACATCCCTTTAAACTCTGGATCTGACTTTTCCTATCTATAAAACGACGGTTTAATAAGATCCCGGCAAAGTACTTTAAAATACTATCTTAAAACTAAATGTATATTACTGCGGTGGTTTTTAGAAAGCTTAGGAATTTTAAAAATAAAACAAGTTTTCAGAAGATTTTACCTACGCCAGGGATGCACTCTTCTGCTTTACATTTGGCATCTCTTAAGTCTATATTCTAAGTTCAGTTTCATCATGTCTGAGCTTCTCCAGTTGCCTGCTTACGTGTTCTTTTATTCTTTTGTTTTGTTTTGTTTCTTAGGGAGAGAGAGAAAGAAAGAGGGAGAGAGAGAATCTTAAACAGGCTACATGCCCGGCATGGAGGCCTGATGCGGGGCTCGATCCCACGACCCTGATGTCATGATCTGAGCCAAAATCAAGGGTTGGACGCTTAACTGACTGAGCCACCCAAGCGTCCCTGCCTGCGTACATTTTATGGGTCAAGTTAGGAGAAATAATCACCTGCCAGTAAAGATGAAGGGATGCCCTTCCTATACTACCAAAACATATCCTGTACTACCAAAAAGTTGAGGACTACAATACCACTTAATAGATGCTATGATTGGAACAGAGGAACAATGGGGGAAAATCTCAGAGGAATAGTTTTTTTTTTTTTTTATTTATTTTAAAGATTTTAATTTGACAGAGAGAGACACAGCGAGAGAGGAAACACAAGCGGGGGGCGGGGGAGAGGGAGAAGCAGGCTTCCCGTGGAGTAGGGAGCCCGATGCGGGGCTTGACCCCAGGACCCTGGGATCATGACCTGAGCCGAAGGCAGACGCTTAACGACTAAGCCACCCAAGTGCCCCTCAGAGGAATAGTTTTTTACAAAAGGAACTTACTAGCTATGTTTGCTTAGCTTTGCAAGAGGTTTTCTCAGTTTTGTATCAGGAAATGTCTGTTAGTCATCTTCTCAACAGAAGCTAAGTTCCTAAAAAGCATAATCCCTCCATAGAACCCACCACAATGAAAAAAAAGAAAAAAGAAAAAAAGAAATATGCTTTCATAGAAATAGCTGCAATTTAATAGTGAATTTAATCTTTGCTTGGTTTCTACATTGACTTGAACGTTGCACAACTCAGGTATGTATTTATATTGAATCCACTCAGAGCAGTGTGGAGGGTGTGTGTGTATTCACGCAGACACACTCCATATACATAAATTGCCTGTGTTTAAAAATAACAATCTGTTCATTTGGCTTTAATGGCTGAGTGCCTTTTAGTCATTCTAAAAAGCCTTTGGAAGTAGGATGTGTAAAAACTCGTTTGCATTTTCTGTTGATCTTTGCATTTGCCAAGTCTTTGTTCCAAACAGCAGCAACTGATTCTGGGCTATCTTAAGCAAAAAAGGAATTTATTAGAGGGTTATTTTCATTATTTTTCAAATTTCAAGAGTGATATGCAATTTGGTCCAGCGTACTGGACCATGTATCTTCCCCTAGCTGTACCAGAGAGCAGGTACACGCAGCTTCCTTAGAGGGAGAAAGCAGTAGGAAACAGGTACTTAGAACCACCCACTCCACCTCTCCCCACCAATGTATTATGTATTTACTTCAAAAGGAAGATGGGGATGCTGGTAGGAAGGGTAGGCATTGATAGCCCAAAAAGGGATAAATATGTTCCATAACTTTTCCTCAGACCTTGGGAATTACTTAAAAAAATAATTTTTGGCCTGAAATTACTTTATAGTTTTTCTCATTTCATTAAAGTAAATTTCAGATGGGGCGCCTGGGTGGCTCAGTCGTTAAGCGTCTGCCTTCGGCTCAGGTCATGATCCCAGGGTTCTGGGATCGAGCCCTACATTGGGCTCCCTGCTCAGTGGGGAGCCTGCTTCTTCCTCTCCCACTCCCCCTGCCTGTGTTCCCTCTCTTGCTGTGTCTCTCTCTGACAAATAAATAAATAAAATCTTAAAAAAAATAAATTTCAGATATGTCCATCAAAATTCAGCTACTAGTTGAGTCTTCTGGCTTTGTAAATGCCAAATGAATAGGAAAAGTCTGTTGTTTAGTTAAGGAAACGAGAGAATATAGTGGCATTTGGAATCAATGTTGAGTATATATTGAGTACTTTGGTTCATTCATTCATGTAACAGACATTGAGCACTATGTGCTTGGCAGTACGCTTGCCCACTTCTGCCTCTTGTCTCTAGACAGAGTACTTAAACTCTCTAATCATCAGAATCCTCACCTGGGAAAAAGAAAAAAGATGGTTAATATTGCCAGATAAAGTATGAAATACATAGCATGCATCATCCAGTTTAATCTCAACAAACCTGTTGAAAGACATAGACAATAACAGTGGCAGAGCCAGGATTCTAACTGGTATTTTTCTGATTCCAGAGCCTATCTGATCCTCTGCAAGTAATTTTTCATGCTGGTTACACAAATTAAAACAATATAT